AGCTCCCACAGAAAAGCTTAGTGGTTTTCCCACAATGAGACAGAAAGATAGAGGCAATTCTAGGGAGAGAGCTCAGGAAGGTCTGGGAGCTTGTTCCCATTGCTCCAGTTCTATCTCAAGGCACAGGACCCAGAGCTGAATGCCACCATGGTGTCTGCATTTCTGAACATGCATATGTGGGGGCTGAGACCATGGGGACACTTGCACCACCTCTTAGCTCACTGAAGGAATACATACCCTCCTTTCTGGGGGTGAGGCATCATCCTTGAAGTGGGAGAATAATACAGGAAGGAACCAGCAGCTCTGGGCACCGGGCAGAATTAAATCAGCCAGAATGCAAAATTACAGAAAGAACTGCTAGCATTTTAGCCTACAAGACACACACAAAGTAAAGATAGTGAAGATGAAACTTAAAGAAGTGTTTTGCCCAGCATTGTACAAAGACAAATGGGAATGAAGGTGAAGAATAAGAATATCAAAGCTTACACCATGTTGCATTGTCCTCCAGATAGTCCTCTGGGAAGCAAGAGGGAAACAGATTCAGGGAACAGAAAAACAAAAACAAAACAAAACAAAATAAACCACAGGTTATACCAAACAGGCAACCACAGAGAAGATAACGAGTCTTTATAAGCAGTTGATTTTAAATGAGAAATTTTAGATCATGCTTTACAGAAGTGATAGAGCTCAGTGGTTAAAATTGTTTAATTTCTGATAGTATCTTACTGAAATTCAGGGGTAATTGCTAGATGCCTAAAATAAGGTTGGCATTTTTTGGCACTTTGTAGTAGAGGGATATGGAATGATTTCTCTGAGCTGTTTAAACCTATACTTTAGGACGTGATGAATCATGCTTTAGAAATATTTGATGTCTATTCAGTTGCCTAAACCTATGTTTAGACAACTAAATGAAGACCTTTATTTGTCTCTGTTAATGTTAAAAACTAGATACATGGTTAGAGGTATCTACACTATGGATCTCTATATTGAATTAGAAAAGTCCTCATTTTTGCTTCTGTTACAGTCAGTAGAGCAATAGGGTGGAATGCAGTTATCTAAATACAGGCATAGTAAGTGAATCTGGTAGCTCTGAGGTATCCCATCTTCCAGCCAGGTCTCCTGTAACTTTGGTTTCACATTTGGACATCCTGCAAACCATAGGCATCTCAAACAGCATCAAGTGACTATGTTTTTATAGCTGAATTCCACCCAGAGGGACTTGCGAAGAACAGCTGAGCCTCAGTTCTGTTCTACCACTTGGATGCCACATAGTAGGCATCCTCTAGGGTGTTCTACCCAGCCTTCAACTGCCAGTCAGGAGGATAGGAGCATCCCAAATTACTGCCCTATCTGCGAGCTCAATTAGATGTCTTGGATACTCTGAGGCATCTCAGTGTTGCATATCTACGTGTGGATATCTCAGTTGGGACTTTCATTTCCCAGTGTATGAGAGGTGTCTGTGATAGGGTGAATTACTCTCCAAAGATGTGTGCCTCTCTCCACTGACTTCAGAAAGAGCCTGACTTTTAGGCCTTGTTCTGTGAAGATGTGATTGAATTGCTTGAGCACAGGTATCTTGAAATGCTTGAGATGCTGCAGCGTTTTCTAACCCGCTCCCCACTGCTGCTCCAGAAGTGTATTGGTCTCTTCCAGTCCTGTGCCATATCCGCTGGTCCCGTGTTTCTCATACTCCAGAATGTCTCAGATGGTGCTTTACATCCATGCTTAGACAATTCTCTCAAGCTCTACATATCTTCCTAAATACATCTGATAATTTTAAACCAGTTATATCACTGATTTTGGGGAATATTTAATTTTTTTCACATTTCTAACAGTTTATTTTGATCTATTTCTTATTTATTAAGCCTTGCTTGTTTCAGCTATGACAACGTAAGGAAACTGCTTTCCCTCCTCTTGGAATGGAATAGCTGAATTAATCACACTAGTTCAGGCAAGGATGAAGAAGCACTTTCTCACATGGGTTCAGTACCCGGTGATTTCAGTGTAGGGTTCTTATGAGTTACACTCAACTGAATTAAGCTTATAAATGGGGATATGAGTAGGAGTAAAACCAAATGGTTCAGATATGCTACATGTTTGTATAAGATTGAGATGCAGAGGAAATATTTTCTAAAGTTGGTGTCTTCTGAGGACATGCTGTCAAAGACACATGAAAGCAGAATTGTTTGTCACTTCTTTTGGGGTTTACATCCCTGAATGTTTGGACTTTGCAATGACAGCTTAAAGTTAAGTGGTCTGACAGTGTTTTATGAATACAAATTCCAGAATAGACTTCTAAAAGCATTAATGTAACACTGAACAGTCATTTGACTCACAAGTAAAGAACTGTTTCTTATATCTATAATAATCAAAAGGGGCTTTATTGTTTGACGCTACCATCAAAATACTAATATTGCTGTATGCTTGTATTAAGCATAGGAAATGATCATTGTGGAGACTGGAAATATGCTGTGAGAGGGATTCTCCTCGCATCCTGTTGACAGTGCAAGGATTAGGAGGATCAGAATGAAGCTGGTCCTCCAGGCTCTGTCTATAGTTAATGAAGAGAGAGAGATACATGATTCAGGGAATGATTCAGCACATTAAACAAACACTAAGGATCTAATGTAGGCAGGTTGAATGATGTTCCTGTGAGGCAGGAGTGCAGCATTTATATCCTTCTGGATAAAATTACCCAAGTTGCTGTGAGATGCAGGCAGTGACCTTTCGCAAGTGCTGCTAAGGGATTACAACTCTGAAACCAGGCCTCTGCTCTAATCCACATAAACAGCCTTTCCTCGCTCCAGCTGAGATCAGTGGCCACCTCTGACTTGAGGGATTGCTGTTCTCAGCCCAAAAGGAGATAACACGTACATCACTGCCATTTGGAGATGGATTTGATACCAACACTCATCACTAACAGAATATAAATAGTTATTATTTTAAATATCACCAGCAAGAAAAATAAATACGTATTTGGCTTAAACATTTTTTTAAAGCAACAGCAGCAACGCTAAGCTCTTTGAGTTTTTTTATGAAATAATGGATGAACAAACCTAGTTAAATCATAAGGAGACAAGTTGCCCTTTGAAAATATACAAGTTATTATGAGTTGGAAAGGATTATCTGCATTTGTAATTTTCATTAGTTACAGCCTCTAAAGGCTGGCAGCATATGACACATCTCTGCTTTCAGGATGCTGCTCAGTATTTTCAAAGCTTGTAATTTAAAAAGGATATTAATATGTTTAGAAGTATTCTTCTTATGTCAATATGGAATGTCTCTTAAACCTGCCTTTTTCATTGCAAAAACACTTGAACTGTTCTTACAACATAAGTGTAATCCAAGTTCATCTGTGTTACCAACCTTACTTTTTATGCTTTTCCTTGCACCTCTGTTCACTTTGATGGAGCATGACTGAAACCTACATGCTTTGGTGACTTTTCACTTCACCTTGGCCAATTCTAGATTAAAATTCAGGCTTCTGCACTGGGTGATACACAAGGGCTGGTTTTCTGAATCCAAAGTGAAAGGGTAAAATTAAGATCCTGCCAAATATGGATTTAATATTGCCAGACATATTTTTAGCCTGGGGTCCTACACTGGGTTATGAACCTGCTGCGGTAGAAAGACCTAAGTCTACCATGGAAGTAAACATCTTTTTCTGTTTCTCCTTTTATGATAACCAGGTTGCACTATTTCCAGAAGAGCAGAGAACTAACAAATGTTGATTTCTGCTGCAGGGTAATCTCATGTCTTGACTGGAAATGCCAGGTTATTTTCCATTTGAATTGCATGAAGACTGACAGAATACAGTAGATAGACAGAATACAGCACAGATAGAGGTGACTGGAAAGACATGTCACTGTGGAAGACTACTGTGATTGTCAAAGGAATTTGCTGAATGATGGTGTCGAGAAGATACCCATTTCCTCATCTGAATTAATATATTTGGGTTCCTGTCCAGTGATTTAGTCTGCACATCAGAGAAACCTCTAGACAATTTCAGGCTCATGATCAGAACCATAGTGAGACATTTTGGTGCCCTAGTGCAGCCAGCACCTGTCTGGCACTCAGCGCGAGTGCAGCTCACAAAACCTTATACCCCAGATAATGGTGGCTGTTTCCAGCTAGGGTCTCCTCTCCCCTCACTCTTGCTACACCCCTGAGCACAACTCTCCTTGGCCAGACAGACCAATGGTGTGCAAGTGTTCAGCAATAAGCTTGGCAAGCGGAGGGTGTGTGATACAGTCTATTTTGGTTCAGACACTATACAAGTCTTTAATTTTGCTAATTGGCTTTACCTTGAGATGATTGCTGAGATGGTATTAACAGCTATCATAATTAGCTCACTATAAATCTATAGATGTGTAAATAGAAGGAACATCGAAGTCCAAAATGTGAATCCAATGACTGGGTAGTAAAGAAAATAGTCTTGTGTTAAAGCCTTGTTTTCAAAATGATTGAGAAAATAAAGCAAGATTAATGATCACTGAAGTTTCAGCTGATAAAAGTCAAATTTTGTGATGGATGTTAAAAAAGCAGTGGTAATTTTATAATTGCGTAAATAAGTGGAACAAATCAATGTGCCTTTGCAAGTGTATATGTTAAAGAACTAGCTGCTAAAAATTGCTTTAATACATAAAATTGTTTTTAATAAGGAAAAATAAAAATTATTGCTGTAGATCACTTTTCAAAGAGAATTTGTTCAGCAAAGTACCTGCTGTGGCTCATCTGCTTTTTTGGCCTTCAGGAAAGAGCTTCTTCTCTTTTAACATTTCTAACACATAAAAACTGGGTTATATTGTTCTCCTACAATGCCGTTCTGTACTATTTCAGTGCAGAAAAAAAGATTCACTGAATGCTGGAACAGCTAGCATAGAAATTTTATGGAGTGATTACGAAATTATTAAAAAAATAATTGTCAGAAGTTTATCACTCTTCCACTGTATTACCAAGCCATCTCTACTAATTTGAAAATGGAATATATTTTGCCTTACCAGCCTATCCAAACTTGTGCCAGCAGCAGTTGTAGGGCGCTCCTCTGGGTTATATGGTCTAAACCGGGTATTGAAGTTTTCAGGGACAGAACGGGAAGATCTCAGGGCAGGTGCTGGTTTAGGTTGGCCACATCCTTGGAAAACCTGAAAAAGACATTGCAGGTTATATGAGAATCATAAAAAAAAAAAAGAAAAAAGGAAGCTGGTATTTTATAGCCTCTTTATTCTCTTTTATATATTTGAAATGAGCTTTGATTGACATTTTGATAATAGTGAATTGAGCACTTGCCCTGCATTAAAACTCAGGTTAATAATTAAGCATTATTAATTACTTGGTTAAGGTATAAAAACATATAGGGACCTTAAAACCCTCTTAATTTAAGAAGGTGATTATTGTAAGGAATTAACATCTGAAAGCATTTTAATTGCTGTCTTTCTAAGAAGAGAAATAAGCAAAAGAAGTCCTTTGTGGCAGGACTTAATTGAAAATTGGTTCAGCTTTTGCTAAAAGGTGGTATTTACCCAGAATCACAGCTCTTTCATAATCCCTATCCACAGCTTTTCCTACTTTGTAATTTGGTTTGTTGTCTCAGAGAAAATGTCAGTGATTGGAATAGTCTTATTAATCGGATAACTTTCTTATTCCCTACCAATCTCTCCCTAAAAAAGAGGTAAGGCATATTGAGTGAGCAATAGGGAGAATTATTTTCAGCTAGTGCACTTGTTTTCTAGGTATTAAAAAAATAACATTCAGGGTTATTAAATTTTTCATGTATTTCCATTTGGAAAAAGTTTCAGTAGCATATATCTGGTGGATACTAAAGGACACAGAAAATGCTTTCAACTAGTGGATGTCAAGCATATATCCCAGAGGAACTCTCACAGAACTGCTCAACCGAAAGGAGGTAGAATATTCACAGGTTAAATTTTTCAAGTGCCCTCATGAAGTAGGATCCAAGTATAAGTGCTGAAAAGGAACATATCTATAGGTTAAAGTGGCACATCCATCAGCTCAGATAAAAGCAGATTTAAGACTTACTAAGGAGAGACTCAGTTATGGGATGGCCTTTATGAAAGTGGAAAAATCTTGGCATGTCTGCCAAATGACATAGCAGCCCAACATAGCTATATAGAATCAGATTGTTTAAAATGAAGAAGATAGTCCAGTATGCTGGACCAGTTGCAATTTTGAGACAACTATGCTGATGCAACAAGATTAGGAATTTTCTCCATTTTGAAGAAAAATGGATGTTATAACATCTTTTCTGCTGTTTATTGAGTTTTCCTCCACTTGTAAGCAAGCAATCTCTGCAGATGTCAACTAGTAAACATTCATATTGTTAAAATGGAACAGATGTAGGATTTACTCTTTGACTTGAAGCAGGAATCAAAGGTAATGGTACTGACAGCCTTATGGGAAGATTTTAAAGGTCCCCAAAACATGTTTATTATGGCCAAGATTGAAATGAACTATTCATATGTTATGACTCTCTGAATATGTCTCCATGAATTACCTCAGGGAGAATGAGAATGAGAATAAGGTAAGTGTATGCTATGACTAAGCCTTGCATATGAACTGAGCCATGGGAAACAATATACAGAATACAAAACTTTTACCTGAGTAATAGTCAAGCTGCTGCTGAGCACTGAGTTTGGCACTGTAACTTTCAAATACCAAAGAAGTGTCACTGGCAAATAACAGATTTCAATAATGAAGATAAATGTCTCAGACGCTATGAGGAGAAATCAAAGGTAAATCTATTGCAACCTGACTTCTACTAGAGGCAACCTTCAGGGAACACCACTGAAGTCTTGGTAGACCCAGACTGCAAATCCTATTCTTAAAAAGTGCCAATGTCTTGGGAGGCATCTCAGGCAGCCCACACTGACTGTTTTTGCACTCTGTGTGGTTTGTTTGGCAGATGATCTGCCAGAATGGCTACCGATGTTAGATAATGAAGCTATGAAAAGTGGTTTTGATGATCTTCAGTTCTTGCCTTTCTTTGGAGAAGGGAAATTAAGGTCTGGTTCAGAGCACGTATATTTCTCTAGCACAAAGGACTTGGAGTCTGAATTTCTAAACCACTGCTCCTTTTTGAAAAGCATCTCCAGATATTGCAGCTGTCGGGAATGGGACTTTCCCGGAGGCAAAATAAGGACCTTGTGTGGCTGTCATTCAGGGACATGGCAGCCTCACATGGTTGAGCAGCCTATGAAGCCTGGTGATTTGTGGCCAGACTTCCTAGACAGGCAGTGCTGAATATAGGCTGCAGAGAAATACCATGAAAATATAGAAAAATTCCAGCCTCAGGATGAATTTGAGAATCTTAATATAATATTAGTACCTGGTTAATGTAAACTGTGCTGAAAGAATCAACCACAATCAGCACACAAACAAGAAAAGTTAATGGCCTAGGAACAGAGATGCTCCATTTTATGCAGTGACAGGTGCTAGGATGTGGCTGAGTCTGTATATCCTTAATCGGAAGTACAAAGATAGAAGAAGTACCTGTGGCACCTCTATAATTCTCTGTCTTGATACTGATGTGCACCCATCAAGAGTGGAAGACAGAGGGTTTGTGTCTTCTAAGAAAATGAAAGGCAAGGCACGAACCCAAGCAATAAGCCCTGACTGTCTGCACTGATTAATTGTTAACTCATTGGCTTTTTCTTGGACTACTCCAACTTGCTCTTGGCAGAATGAAACAGCTCCAGAGTAGGTAGCTCTCAGCAGTATAGAAATGAATCAGGCTGTGACACTTTGGCCTCAAGATCAGGCACTGGTCCTTGTCCCCTTTTATTTATTAGTATAACTGTAACCATGAAGATTATTTCTCAGAAAAATAGTGCTGAATAGGAGGTGCATATTTATAGGAAAAAGGTATCAGACAAAACCTTCAGTACTACGTCAAGCAAAGAATGGGGGTACAAACCATTAAACTGGAGACTTAGGAAGTTCATGGTGTATTTTTCTGCCGATGTTTAAAATGAAGGCTTCATCATTCATGAAGAGCATACATTTTTACTTATTTTTATACACTTATTATTTCAGAAAGTGTACATTGTTGCTCACTTAATTTTGCCTCCACATGCAGTCAGTGTGTTATATCAGACATTTATTTGTCTCAAATAAACTTCAATATATGATTGCACCTGGTATAATATAAAACATCATTTGGTGATACTAAGACAAACTGATACTGCAATTTAATGTGACTGACTTTTGAAATAGGGAGAGGGATGGATTTGGGGTTAAATGAACTCTGGGTCTTCTGCCCAGAAAGACGGAAAGATTAGTGAGAGGTCCTTGAGAAGGAAACTGTTTCCATTTGTTCCATTCCTTTTAAAAGAGAAACAACACTATTCAAAATGGCCCAAAATCCTACTGAATACAGCACAGACCCTCTTCCCATACATCAAGCAGGTTTTTAGGTAGAAAAAGCTGCGTATCAGTGGTGAAAAATAATCTATGTGTATGTGGGTGTTGAAGTCATAACGTTATTAGTGCATCATCATTTTCCCATTGTGAAAGCATGCTGACTGACTTGTGGAAAAATAGCTTTGATTCCTGGTCACCACATTTTCAGTGGGTACAGTCAAATGCAAGATACAAAACTGTTTGAAGATTTCAACACCCTGCCTGAAGCTTTCTGAATAGTGTCTCAGAATAATTGACAAGCGTGGCTTTTCTCCTGCATTAGGTCTGCAATTGCATTCCATGCACCCCATTACATCTGGCAAGGTATCTGTCATTTTCACTGAAGCTCTAAGTGGTCAGTATGTATAAGGGGGAAAAATTAGACGACAGATGACTGATTCGAAATCTGCTCATATATCATATCTACAGATCTGACAGGACATTGGAGAATGCAGCACCAAACCCAAAGTCTTTGCCTTCTTACACTTTTCTTTAAGAATAAAGCATTTCCATGCGTTAGGAACTGAAAAAAAAAAAAAATAGATATGACCTAAGAAAACAAGGAAATCACATTTTAGGAAAATAATGGTCTACACAGAAATATAAAAAAGCCTGTCAATGATAGACAGCTCTGTTATCTGTGAAAACATGATAAAATAAATTTCACTGATATAATTCAGTTTCTGTATCTCAAGATTTTAAAAAACATTGGCTAAGGTTTCTCATAGAAAAAAATCTTTACATCGCAAATGGAATTGCTCTGATTTATTACTAAAATATTTCTGAGGGACAGGAGAAACGGCCTGCTCTGTTGCAAACAAGTAGTGAGATGAGCTTGTGCCAAGATGTCATGGGATGCTGGCAGGGGATGCAGCTTCCTGACTAACGGAAAAACTGTGAGAGCCGAGCAAGTAAAAAGGAAAATGAAATACACCTGAGCCTTGGGTTAGTTTTCAGTGAAAATAATTCTTGTTTCTTTTTCTGAGTTAAGAGCTGAATTTGCTGAAGCTAGCCTTTAATTCCCAAAATATTGCAGAGAATTTGGCTGTTAAACACCTTAATCATGCCTGCCAGAACAAAGTCTCATCGCGCAGGATGCAGACAGCTTTTAAAATCCAAGTAACTTCGTGTGAGTTGAAAGTAAAAAGCATCTTGAAGGAAACTCTCAGAAACCTGCAGCACTGGGGCCATAAAAAGCATCTAATTTTGGGTTGGCAGGAAGAATATTAACCTCACATTTTTCCCAGCTATGGCAGCTTCCTTCCAAGCAATGGAAATTCACCAGCTCAAGATGGCAGTCTAGCCAGCACCTAACTGACTACTGGGAGATCAATGGGATGTAGAAACTCCTAGAGCAGAGAACCTGCAAACTGTTCACTTCAGATTTTGAGCTGCAGTGCACTGATGAATATTAAGGAAAAACCATTAATTGTCGACTATTGGGTCAGCAGCACCTGATACTGAATTCAAAGGATCTTATTAACACTAGGTTCAGAGGCGATGATGATCTGTGTACACATACACACACTAAAAATGGAAAGGAGGAAGCTGGTATCATTAACTCTGTTTATCTTTGTGTCAGAATCCAGACAAAACTCTATCAAACTGAGGCCTGGTAATCAGACACTGTCCAATGTAATAATATTTCCCTTGAGTGGCTATTAAAGGAGGTTAGATGGAACATTTTGTGTATTCACCTCAAACACATTGTACTTCAGTCTGACCTAGACAGATCAAAATGTGATTGGAAGTTAATGTGGAGAATCACAGACAAGACACGAGCAGAAGTTACCAAGCATACTTTGCAGGATATTGCTTACAGAGTTACTGCTATTTTTTGATATTCTCTGTTTTTGTTAAATCTCTTACAGCTATAATTTGGAGTTATCTAAATAGTACCTTTCTCCCTGTCACTCCCTTTTGTAAACTTTGAGCTTGCTTAAGTAGGTGGAGGATTCAAAGGCAGTCTGGTGTACTGTTGAGCAAGCAAAAGCAATTTCTAGTGGACTGGACAATTTTTCTTCAAGTCTAGACAGAAAAATGGTGATGTTTTTCCCCCTGCTTGCGACCATGCAGCAACAGAGAAGGCACGACTCACACAGTACCTTTGCTGACACCTGCATGCTGTTTTCTTGCATGTTCATGATGGCTTCAGAAATCTTGACATCAATAGGATCCATGACTGATTCAATGTTGAATGGTCCCTCTAATCTCTCCGCTACCAGAAGCATAGCATCTGTTAAAACACAAAGCAGCCATTCCCTTAAAGAAGGAATACCTTTGGGTGCCTCAGGCAGGCCAGCATTGGCAGCTGGAGGAGTGGGTATTGAATGCTCCTGAGCAGGAGCCCATGGGGACATGTGGCAGCGGGACCATGAAGCCTGCAGGGCAGCTTCCCAGCTGTCAAAAGTATCTTCCACTACTGCTGCCACAATAGAAAGAGGAAGAAAGACTGTAAAAGTTAGATTCATAATAGTTGCCATAACATTGTGGAGCTTGGGGTAAAATTATTTTACACAGCATCACTCCACTTGAAGCAGCCAGTAGTGCTTTGGCATGTACTTATATAGTCTCCTTCCTGCAAGAAAGCAGGAAGATAGAAATGAATCCCTGGGGTGTGTTCTTAGAGTTTGTGTGAGATGGTGAAAACTTTGATATGATATATCAGGGTGTTATAATTAAAGCAGCTGTTCTTTCTGACCTTAATGATCTCATTTTCTTGCAATATAAACAGCAGATGAATATTGGATTTCTGCCATAGCATATAGGTATAAACTGTATTTGCCTTGCTACATTTTAAAGACATGTTTGAAAGTTGTATGCAGAATCATATATTCTTTGTATATTTTGGATTTTGAAAACAATCATTTGCTTAATTTACATTAGAGCCCCTCTGCAAAATAATTTTATCTTTCTATGTTCATTAAGCAGTAAAAACCAAGCAACTGAACAGAAATTACTAACAGTAAAAAAGGTTTTGCCATACATCACGTTTGTCTATACAGAGACACAAATTCATCACACTTTCTGTGACAACAGCTGTGTGATTTATACTATACCTTTGAACATCATATTTGATCTTTTCTCATTTCTTAACATTTTCAGCATCTAATTAAACAGATGCCACTTGCAATTATAACATAATAAACAAAAATCTTAACATGCTCTCTTCTTTATCCTTCAAACTCAGGCTCCAAAAGGTACTAAACAGAATTCTTTCCAAAACAGAACCCATGCGTGCTTTGCTGTTGTAAGCACCAGTCCCACGGCAGCTACATGAGGAAGGCATGGAGCACTCCATAGCCCCAGTGGCAGCCTTTGTTAGCTCCACACTTGGCTGTGCACTCCCAGTTCTTCTTTTCAGCCTGCATGGCCATCTTCTCCCTCCCCACAGGAGCACATGTGTGTGGATGAATGGGAAGAACAGGCTGGCGTCTCACCCTAGAGGTTGAGACACAGAGTGCCATGCCCAGACTGACTTGAGAGCTACAGTATGTTGTTTATATGCACTCAATGCATGCCTAAAAATCCTACCGAAACTGAAACTACTAGGCATGCAAGCCTAAGCACTTTTGCAAATTTATGTCTAATATTTCACAGTATTTTAGGCTGGAAAGAGCGTAATGTCAGTTACTTGGAGTGGGGTATATAGCACTTGTTGCTAACGGTGAGAAATGGTGAGATGATAGGAATTTGATTTCAGAGGTGTTATTTTGACTGTACATTATTTTAAAATGCTTTGGTTTAAACACCTTGCAGTGGGAAACTCGATGAAAACAATACCTAGCTCTGATAGAGGAAACAAAACAGTTTTTATACACACAAAGATCACACACACACATACACAAGCACAGGCATACACTTAAAGATTCCCGCAGTAAGTCAGCTATTTTTCCACATACAAATAGAATTTGTAAGTATAAAATATTTTCTTGCTCACACATTCAGAATGACTTATATACAACATGAGCATGTATACAACATGCCTTAGCACTTTATGAGCAACATGATAAGCCTAAATCCTAGCTGCCACAACCAGTAGTAGGGCATAGGTCTTGGTGGCTGGAATTTGGTAGTTTAGTTCAGGATTAAGGTAAAGATTAGGGTTAATGCATAAAACAGTAACAAAGTGAGGTTTTTTGTGTCGTCTGATTTTGTTTTGTTTTTGTTTTTTTTTTTTTTTGGTAGGAGTAGCCCCCAGCTTAAATTAAAGACAGGTGCCTTTGTATGAGCACACTTTAGTTTTGGAACTAGCAGGTTGGACAAGTCTAGTGCTAAGCTCAAGAACATATTTTGGATAAGAGTCTGTGTTGAAGCAGAGTTCAGTAAAATAAGTAATTGCTGGAGACCTTTCATGAGAATGGGTGGCCGCTTGACTTGTCGTTTCTTCTGATGGCATGGGACACTAGTTATGAATTAAATCTTGAACTGGAATCTCAGCTGCATGGCAGAAAAGTGCATCATCCTTAACTGAACAAGAACCACAGCTTTAAGTATAAAAATAACCTTTCCTCAAGCAAAGTGTCTTCAACTTCAAAATTGATAGTTCTAGGAGATGCAAAGATCTGTTCCTGACATACACAGTTTCTATTTTTAGAGAGAACATCCTCGAGTTCATCAGCTTCTGTTTTCTGAACCCTAACCCTATCCATAGATTTATTCTTTCCTTAGTCTTTGAATTGGAAGTGAGCAGAGGCTGATAACTTCTGGCTGCCAAAGCTCTGACCTTTTCCTGTGCTGAGCTTCCTTGTTTTATTGTATGGTATAGGTCTGATGCTGGGTTCAAGAGCTTGGGTTTGAGTTAAGACTAGAGGCAAGTTTATGTTTCATTCACATGGGCTATAGCTTTATGCTAAAAAAAAATAAAGGAAAGGAAAGAAAAGAACAACAACAACAAAAGAACAGAGAGCAAGATCAAGCAGTGGATCCCAGGTTGTCCATAATCTTTAATTGCTATTTCCTTCTCTAGTGTGGAATGACTCCGGACCACTCCAGGCAAGCTACTCACAACACAAATCTGGGGAGATGTAAGCCTGAAGCAGTGAGGCTGTGAGCCAACAGTATCACTTGACATTAGAGCCCTGCAATCTTTTATTTAGTTAGCACTAGAGGGATATGGCCAGGGACCAATGTGTTATAGGAAAGTTTAATTTGAAATTTCCACACCTTTATTGATGACAGGTACATCTTTATATCAGCAGTCTGTATTTTTGTTTTGGAGCTAGAATGTGGGACAAGACTAGTGTTAAACTAGAAGCCTATACGGGGACATATTTGAAGAGGCAGAGTATGAGAAACGGATTAAATGCTGGGATGAGAGATGCCTGAAGGGCTAAGGTGAAACAGGTTCCTCCTGCAACATTATTTCTGAGGCTGACACAAGTTGTGTTTCCAGTTAAGGCTCATTTTGGGGCTCAAGTCTGACTAGAAGTCTTGGGTAATTTCACAGTTCAGATGAGCTCTTGCACAAATGGAAAACTAATGTTGTTTGAGGACTCATTTTATCTTCTTCAGTTTCAGCAGGTGTGTGGGGCCATGGCTGATTTAGCAGTGACTTGACTGCTGGGTTACTCAAGTCTGCTTCTGGTAGAAGCCTGACAAGCTCAGTTGAGCAAAAGAGGATGAGCAAGTGACACTTCTATGAACTCCTAAATTATTTTCTTAGCCTCTGACTGAGCTTTTCGTTTTATCATTTCTCTAACCATCAAGTTGTTCTTAATATTAAGTCAAACCCATCCAGATGCTACCTGACAGCCGTAGACTGAGAGAAACCTTGAAGATCAAGGCAGTCATATTATTGCAAGTGTGCAAGCCCCTTGGGAACATAATCACTACTGTAGTTAAACAGATTCTACATACCGATTTTTTGAGTTAACTGTCAGTGCCACTGCTCTTAACCTCTTCTGCTAGATGCATGTTGCTCAAAACAGGAGTGGAGACCTTCCTGATAAAGCAAAAGCCACGAGACTGCTGGAGTCCAAAGGTTTAGTCCCAGGGCCCTCAGAATGTCTCTTTTGGCTGGGCACAGAAGCTCAGTTTAACTGCTTTGGTATTCCCTTGTCCACACCAGGATATACTATAGGCATTTGGCAGTTGTTCTTAGAAGGACATTGTTTCATTTTAAGCAATATGTAAGAAAGAGATCCCACAGAAATGTTTGGTTTACTTCACAGATTTTGTTCTTTTTTTAAAATTTTTATTTTAAGTTTGTAATGATAAGCACAGGACAAAACTGACCACCATGCTAGGTGATTTATTGTGTAACTTAAAAATTCAGAAGGCCATGTGTGAATTTCAAGACATGACGATGTTTTGTGAACTCTGAGCATCTTCAGGCAAAATAGTGGATAGACTAATAATATAAATAGACAAGAATCTGCCTCTGTTTTCTAGGAACTGCATCAAGCCACTGTCTTTTTGCCTTATGTTGACACCAAAAGTGATGTCTTCCTGTTTATGTCACATTTCCTTCAGGCAGGTTTCCAGAAAACTTCCTAGTAAATCCCAGATTGAAACAAAATGAGCAGGGACAAGAACGCTGATTTATGAGACATCTCACAAGTGGAAAACCCCCCAAACTAGACTGAAATACAAAGTTCCTGTAAAAACAATTAGCACCTCCTTTTTCTTGCCACCTCTCTGTCATCGAGAAAATGTGAAAAGTCTGATAGGAAAGACTCAGGGAGCTGATAAGGGAAGGCATTTTTTGGGTCTGTGTTAGCTTGGCTGTGACATCAGTTTTTCCTTTCATGCACACTTTTTTCTTCTATTTTTAAATTATCAGTGAGAGTCCAGCAGGGGCTGAGCTTTCCCCAGAGAAATCCAGAAAATGGATTTCTCTGCATCTATGGAGAAAATCTCTAAAAATGTTGTTTCTTCAGGGAGAAGAAGAATGGTAAAATACTAGATTGCATGTCCTATATAAAATCTTAAAGTATATTTTGTTTTGGGGAAAAAAAGGAGGAAACTAAATTTCCCGTCAGGAGGTTTCTGTTTTTTCTAGTCCCATGTATATGGAGAACTGTGAAGTGCTTGTTCACACAGTTGCTTGTGAAAGAATATAAGGATAAATTTTTATTTGGGAAGCTTCAAAGGATTTGTCTATGGACAAGTCCATGGACTGAACAAGAAGAGAGATGAACCAGCTGTAAACAGACTGAGCAACTTGCTGTAGTTGACTATGACCTTGAGAATGGCAATGACTGTTTTGGAAAAGGATGTAACTGTTAAAATGCT